TATACATATACATATACATATACATATACATATACATATAAATATAAATAAAAAGTCTGGATCCCACCCAATGTATTTCCCTAGATGGCACATTAACCAATTCTGTAATTGTTCTATGATAATCTCCATACTAAACAGCTAGTTTGGTGTAGTGGTTAAGGTACCAGGCTAGAAACCATGAGACCATGAGTTCTAGTCCCACCTTAGTCACAAAGCCAGCTGGGTGACCTTGGGCCAGTCATTCTCTGTCAGCCCTAGGAAGCAGGCAAGGACAAACCACTTCCGAAATCTTGCCAAGAAAACTGCAGAGACTTATCCAGGCAGTCTCCAGGTATCAAGACTGACTTGAAGGCAAAGAACGAAACAAAACAAAAGCCCCATTCTGCACGCAATGCAGTAACGCTACCTAGTTCTCCCTAGATGCAATCCCACCTTTTTGACCTCTTCCAGGAGATGAAGCTGTTTAATTTTTTCCACCAAACGCTTCAGCCGTGCATCTAGGTACATCCGCTCAGGGTGGCAGAGATGGCGGCATTCAGGGCAACGGTACTGAGAGTTCAAGGAAACATTCCAGTGAGTAAACAAACAGTCTTGACAGAAATTATGCCCACAATCAATGGAGACGGGGTTTTTGAAGGACTCCAGACAGATGGAACATATGATGTCTTCCTGAAGGTTATGGATCATGCCTCCCACAGTCCTTGATGTAGGGACTGTTGAAGAGGTTGGCCTGCAAGGGGTAAAGAAAAGGAATTGAGCCAAACTGTGGGAGGCCAGGACTCCATCTACAGTTCTGGGTCCATTTCATGTGATACTGCTAGGACCAGACTTCTGTGCAGAAATCCAGGAATCCCACTGTGGAAGAACAGGCTGTGGAAAAAGAATTGCAGGAACCTAGGCTCCCTCCCTCCCTCCCCTCAGTTCAGTTCAGTTTATTACTGATTAACCATTAGGCCATATCAGGATACAGAATACAAAACAAATAAAACATAAGACATTAATAAGACCATATATTAAAAATAGGATAAGAGAAACAAATTAAA